CAAGTAAGAAGTCATGTCCATAGATCCAGGCCTGCAAACAATGTAAGAACGAGCGCATAGACATTATTTGTATAACAGAAACACTCCCTAAAAATCACGGGGGGGGGGGGAAATTGTACCTATTGAATTTCAGTTGCCAGGTTTTGATTGTTTTCATAACTTGAATGAAGAGCAGTGCAATAGAGGTGTAGATTTTGGGTTAGAACCTCTTATGGGACCCAGTAAGTTAAGTTTTCTGCAGAACATCAATCAGCTGGAGAATCAGTGTGGTGCAAACTTTCTCTCAAAGGCAAAGATAGCCTTCTCATAGGCGTCGTGGATAGATCACCAAACAGTTCTTCTGATAACGATAAAGTACTAAACAGTCTTTTACCGAGCATTACTTTCCGTAGGTCACACACGTTGATCGTTGGTGATTTTAATCATCCAGAGCTAGACTGGATAGATGGATCATCGCCAAGGGAAGAGAATCACCCAGCATCCTTGTTCATGGAGTCAGTAAGAGATTCTTTCCTAGTCCAGCACGTTACCAAACCAACCCATTATAGAAGTAAACAGACTCCAATATTCTAGACCTGGTGTTTACTAGTTATGAATCAAATTTAGATGAGCTTCGTCACGAGGCTTCATTGGGCAAAAGCCATCACCAATCATTGTTTTTCAATCTAAAGTGCTGTACAGAAAAGACGCCTCGGAAGCGTGAGCGTTTGAATTTTGCGAAAGGCGACTATGATAAACTCCGTGAAGCAGTGAATGCAGTGAATATTTCGAACTGTATTAAGGACATGAATGTGGCTGGGTCATGGTGAAAGTGAATTTGAAAGTAGATCAACGAAAGATATCCTCTGATGAGGGCAAAGCTAACGTGCTTAATCATTTTTTCAGTAGCGTATTTACTGAAGAGGACTTGAACAGTATTCCAGCTATTGAGGAGCGCCCAGTCGGCTCTAAATTAACAAGTTTTGAAATACAAGAAGAAGAGGTTCTCAAGCGCCTTATCGCTATAAATTCAATTAAGTCAGGTGGACCAGACGGCTTCCACCCAGATTACTCAAACAATTAGCAACTGTCCTAACCGGCCCTCTGACGTCATTTTTTTCGAAAAACTTTGAAGGAAGGAATGTTGCCGGCTGACTGGATAGAAGCTCAAGTGACACCGTTGTTCAAAAAAGGTGACAAAAGCTGCCCTGGCAACTATCGCCCTGTCAGCCCTGTAAGCCAATAAACTAGTTGGACTGATCAGACGCTCTTTACAGTTCCTAGATGCAGAAGCGATGAAGCAGTTGTTTGTTGCTGTCGTGCGCCCGAACCTAGAGTGTGGAAACCTCGTGTGGTCACAGAAATTTGAATGGGACAAAAATTTAGTGGAGAGTGTTCGAATACGCGCAACAAAGATAGTTCCGGGCTTGAAAGGCAATTCCTATGAGGAAAGATTGAAGATTATGAAGCTTCCAAGCCTCAGTTATCGACGTCTGCGTGGGGACTTCATTGAAGCATACAAGTATACTCATGGCATATACAAGGTCCCAGAAGGATTACTAGGATTTGAAACATGAACCAACACCAGGGGCCTCGGCTATAAACTAAAAAAACAGCTTTGGAACACATCCATGCGACAACATTTCTTCTCACTTCGAGTCACCGACATGTGGAACAGCCTCCCTGATAGCATCGTTGACGCTCCGAGTATGAACGCCTTCAAAAACAGACTAGACGGAGCTATGCAGGAGCATATGTCCAGTCTTAAAATGCCTAGCAAATTACGGACCAGGCAATAGGTCCAGCAGCTATCTCAATCAGTCGTCAGTTATGGAAAGATCGGGTTCCAAAGGCCGGATTCCTTGTGAATCAAGTCACGAAAAGTTCAAGAATCGGCAACAAGCCATGTGCCTCTTTCTTCAATGCCGACACTTCTATTCTATTCTATATTCTTTTACCTCTTAACATCGTTGAGATGTTTTTAAAGCCATTTAAATTAAAAAAATCATGTATCAGCAACAAGTATGGTCCTTCAACTTTAATTTTATGTTAGAAGTTTTTGAACACGTTATTTTATTTAAAAAGTATTCGTGTACCCCATAAATTAATGAATCCTTGTTGGTCCGCTCCATAACGTTGCCCTACACAATTAACATAAAAATTGTCAATCTTCACTTTTGCTGATTAGAATCATCCACATGATATAGATGCTAATCATGAAATTTTAAATAACAATAACGGTTGGAAAATGCATCTAGCAACAAATTGTACGCTTTAACGTTATTTTTCTGATCAGGTGTAATCCCGAAGTACCTACCACCATTCCGCCCTGGACAGCCTGATTACGCTTGGGGCATAGAAATGTGTTTGGAACAAGCTGCTGATGGACTCAACGACCTTGACTGCTCGCGAGTGAGGCCGTACGTCTGCCAGTCTTTTGCGCCGTACAGCTGTGTTGCGCTGCCTAATTCGGCCTACCCTGCGGATTACATGTGCTTCAGTCGACAGTAATAACTAATTGAAGAGTTGATGTTTATTACTGGGTTTCGTATATTTTGTCTACATTCTGTATGTTATAATTTTCAGATTACTTGGTCCTGCCCGACAGATTTCCATTTTTCCTCCAAATCCACATAAAAAATTGTTTTAATTATTTGTACAAGTAGAATCTAAAAAGAAATAAAATTAAAAGGAAAAGCTATGAGGTGACAAAATTGGCAAAGAAAAAGGGAAATGAAACAAAATTAAGCGGCAGAAAAAATCCAGGTTCAAGATTGTGTTTGATTGCTTCATGCTAGTGAAGCAATATCTAAAAATCTTGTGGAATCCTTCGTTGCATCTTATAAATCCAAGGAAGAATGGGTCGTAAGTGCGTCCATCGACACCTCAGCATGTAGGAATTTTTGTGAACTATAGAATAGAAGTGTCGGCATTAAAGAAAATAGGCCCATGGCTTGTTGCCGATTCTTGAATTTTTCGTGACTTGATTCACAAGGGATCCGGCCTTTGGAACCCGATCTTTCCATTGCAGACGATTGATTAAGATAGCTGCTGGACTTATTGCATGGTCCGTAATTTGCTAGGCATTTCAAGACTGAACATATGCTCATGCATAGCTTCGTCTAGTCTGTTCTTGAAGGCGTTCATACTTGGAGCGTGAACGATTCTATCAGGGAGGCTGTTCCACATGTCGGTGACTCGAAGCGAGAAGAAATTTTGTCGCATGGATGTGTTATAACGCAGTTTTTTTTTAGTTTATAGCCGTGGCCCCTGGTGTTGGTTCTTAATTCAAATTCTAGTAATCCTTCTGGGACCTTGTATAAACCATGAGTATACATGTATGCTTCAATGAGGTCCCCACGCAGACGTCGATAACTGAGGCTTCGTAGCTTCATAAAACCAAGGCAAAATTCGCCGTAGTCGAGGAGATGTGCAGCGGATGATAATGCCGGCACCAACCCTTGCCACAGTGCAGCGCCAGAGGCAGTGTCTAACGTTGTCTAAATTGCCGCAACGTTGCCACCGTACTTCTGGACCTAGATAGGCCCTGCACCTCGATTGGTCTCGACCTATATAGATCATACACCTGGATAGGTTTCGACCTAGATAGGCCCTGCACCTGAATAGGTCTCGACCGTGATAGGTCCTGCACCTGGATAGGTCTCAACCTAAATAGGTCCTGCACCTAGATAGGGTTCGATCGTGATAGGTCCTGCACTTAGATTAGTCTCGATCTAGAAACATCCTGCACCTAAGTAAGTAAGTCTCGATTTAGGTATGTCCTGTACCTGTATGGGTCTTGACCTAGATATATCCTGCACCAATTTAAGTTTTGATCTAGATATGTCCTGCCCCAGATAGATCTCGATCTAGAGAGGTCTGATGCACCATCGCGAGCGGCCACGCTCGCGCCTAATTTTCGCCGTTACGAGTGTTCAAATTTGAAATTTTGGCTGAAAAAGTGTGGACCTGTAAACCATAATTCAGATACTGGGATATCAAATTATCAAGAATAAATGTTGATAATTTGATTTGACTAGCACAATCTTTTCACGTCGAAGTAGATGAATTATATTTTACATGTTATCAAACACTTTCGCATACGGCGTCATATGTATATCTGACAGCACCTCATTTAAACATTTTAGAGACACGAATGCTAAAAATTTTTTAATAGAACAAAAGATTTATCTAAAATCTCACAATTCACTTCCTTTGGCATAATAAAAAATATATTATACAGCAATAATACATTTTGTCACTCAACTCCCATGTTAAGAAAATTCTGCCGGGGTCCCGTAGCAGGACCTTTCTCTGCCCTAAACGCAGGTATGGTCACTATCAATATAAGTGAAGTCCCGTCGGATATGAACGAATTCCTGCCTTGCTGTAGTCATTATCCTGTACGGAACCGTGAATAAACAGAGCCTAGAATCTTGAAACAGAAAGGTCAAGAATATTGAAACCTCAAAATCTAGAACCTTGAAACTGGAAAACTCTCAGACTTAAACTAGTCACCTAGAAACTTGAAGTCCTAGAACCTAAAAATCTCAGCAGTAAATTTTAGCTTCAGTTGACCACTTCTATCACCAGAGGCAGGATCGAGGGTGAATTCGGTTGTAAGAACGATCAATATACATATCACGATGAAAACCTTGTTTGGGTACGGTTAGTATTTATTGGGAGCCCTCAGTAATTTTATCAGAAATATTGCGATTTGAGGTGGAAGGAACATTCTTAAAAAACTCAGGAAACTGTCATTCATACCTAATTACAGACGAAGGTATTCATTGAGTGAATACGAGCGAGCCCCGATACAAACTATTGAGCGTTTGAAGATACCAAAATGTCCATCAGCTGAAGCGTAGGAAAGAAAAATTCTTAAATTGACTCACTTCGGTTCCGTGACGATCGCCGGACAAGCGCAATTGCAAATCCATCTATATGTTTTCTTTCCGTGCGGTACGAGTAACTCTGCGAATACGACTTTATAGGTGTTTCTAAACAATAAAAGAATACGATTCAAAATACAAACTTTTAACTTTCAAATCCAATAGAAGACAAAATACTTGCATAATCTCCACACCAAGAGGTTGGGAACCAAAAAAACCCTCTCACATTAAGAGGTGGGAACCAAAAATAACACGCCTTATATCGTTATCTGCAACTTATTTCCAAAAAAAAACACGTCTAAATGTAGTCTACGGATTATATTTTGAAACTTTTATTCACAATTTCTAATAATGCATACTGAATTGCTAAAAACTCCTTATCACATCAGTGATTCTAACAGTTTGAAATGGATGACTATGAATCCAAATGAAATATAACTGCATAGTAGGATATTAATCTAGATTAATATTTGTTCAATGATTGGAACGAATATTTTCTTATCAAACTCGCACTTCAATGGTCAGTCGTAGCGGAGCTTGATCAGAGCAAAAATAATATTGTTTCTCAAAAGTTCTTCAAATATCTTCGGGGTCTGTTCCTTAAGGGTGATAAAGCAACAAAATTTTTGTTTTAATTCAATTCAAAGTCATTGCATGTGATACATTACTGATGTTTTGCGTGTGTAATATATCAGTTCTCTTGACGTATGATCTTTTTGATATCTTCTTCCGGCCGTTGCTGGAATTGCTAGAGTTGGTCCCTGTAGACGGTGTTGCTGAGGCAGCCTCTCGCCACCGACCTGATCGAGTTGTCAGGCAAGCCCAGAGATGACATCTTGAGAGCAGGACAGGAATCAGGGTTAATTATACGAAGAACGATTAATAGCGCTCAATAAAAATAGTTTGAACGGCAGTAAACAATGTCGACGTGTGGCAGTAATTAGCGCCCAATTACACGTAAGAATAATCCTAGTTTTTGAAATTGGATGCAAGTAAATTATGCATAAATTTCGACATTGTATACCTGTTGAATGGTCCTATGACAGTAACGATTTTTTTTACGCGCAGCATGAACGACTCTCACAAATATGCATGTGAAGATCACCCATTTAGGTAAGGTAAGTCAACGGCTTCTAAAGTTTAACTGTCTTTGGAGGGCCATTAAAAACTGGAGTGTCAACAAATTCCCTCAATTATTCAACAAGCCGATGATTTATTCAAATTAATTCTCCAGACTCACTCACTTATCCCTCCTATTATAGATTCTTGAAGATTTCCAGTTGATCTGTTTTATTGCGAAATATATATTCGAGCGATTTTCTAAACAGCAACAAAAGTTTTTAAGGAAACAGCACAAGCTTACTATAGGACACTTGAAGGTTTTTCTTACCGATGTTGCGTAGCCATAATGAATAGAAATGCCGTTGACGGTATATTGGTATTTGGGATAAACGCACGCAGACTGGCCGATGAACTTGAGACCCCTGAGAGCAATATAAAATCTTAACATTCATGACTTCCTTATCCTCGTTCAAAGAGACATGTACCCACTTTTTTTAGAAGCCATAAACCTCCTCTTTGTGAGGGCTATTTTCTCCTGCAAGGCATGAAACCTAGCTAAATGAGGCTCGTATTTATTGTTTTTTTTTGGCAGTAACTCCCTCAATACGAGTCTGGTGTCTAAATTTTGAAATGCGAAAATGTCTTCGTCATGAGATTATTATATTATTGTTGCCGGCGCGTGGAATACGGGTGGGGTCAGAAGGACCCGCTTTATGTCTCTGGCAACCTTAATAATTCTTCTGGGAGAATAGTAAAACAAGTGTATATTTTAAGTATACTAGACTATGGGTTGAATTTACAGGTGAATAATTTCACAGCCGTCATGGAAAAATGAGTTAAACAAGAAACTTGAATGATTTGAAGTTGGTTGTAAACTAGAGTGAACTAAAGTGTATGTAAGGAGCACGAGAGGGGCAAGCAGTAACTGCACACAGAAGAAATACCTAATCAATACACACGCTATGACACACTATAAGTATAAAATAGTATCATTAATATATACACGCAGCATTGAAGTTCAGTTTAGCAGTGATAAAGTTAAAGTAGTGAGAAAAGTTAGGTAACAAAATCCTATTTTCGCTGTGCCCCCTCTTAACGAATATTCATAATAAAAAGGGAATTGAGCTCAATAATGATAAGTAACACTCGCTTAGGATCACCGGGTTGGAAAAACAACTAATGAGAGCAAGTGAAAGTAAAATAATTAATAAAGTAGTTTGGTTACCAAAAAGTGTTTAGGTGAAACAGTAAAACTTCCACCTGACGGCAGTAGCCAAGTTTGATTGGTGAATAGAATGGATTTAACACTTAGCACTCTTAGATAAAAATGAACACATTTGCCGTTAGAGTTTAAACTATCTACAATATGAATAATTTTCAATAAAGCTCCTACCTAAACACTCACCCAAGCATTAGGTCTTCACAGCACAAGCCACCAGTTTAAAGTAGACCGGTCGGTGACGGACACCGCGGAACTCGGGTCCTAAACCCCGGAACATCTTAATATGAAATTACATGCTACAGATTTGCTTTGTGGCGAAAGGGTCATGGTAACCTCCGGTTAAATTATTTTCATGAAAAACGTGCTTCTTCCTGCGATGCTCGTACCCACGACTTGAATGAAGCCCATATCCTCGCTTCCAAAGACACGAATCCTCCTCTTGAGGAACGTATCCTAAATTTATGAGGTACGTACGAGCATTATTAGTTTAGACCAGTGGTTCCCAAAGTGGGCGATATCGCCCCCCTGGGCGGTGGAAAGATTTTGGGGGGCGGTAAGGAAGAAGAGGGCGGTAGGGGGGCGGTAGTCCGAAGTCAATGTCAGAAGTTCGAACGTTTGTTTGACGATTTGTACAATACACGGGCAGCACGTGACTCCCAGGGATGGTTTTTGCACCCAGATCTGTTTTTTAACCTCTCCTGGGTTTACGTTTCGGACAAATTATCGGCCGGACTTGCGGCTGGTCTCACGGCCAATTTCCAAATTCAATGATCAAGGAATATCTCTCAAACTAGTGAACTTAACTCGATGAAACTTGGTACACGTATTCATTAGGACCTAACAATAATGTTTTGCTCGTGAAACTTGTTAGAATTTTGCCATAGTTTGTTTTTGCCATAGTTATATGGCAATAGGAGACGAAATTAAGTGATCAAGTAATTTCTTCCAAACTACTGAACAGATTCGAAAGAAATTTTGAATTTAAAATCCTAACTACCGAACGGTAATGTTTAGCTCGTGAAAATTTTTTCGATTGTGCCTTCGTTCGCGATTTTTTCCATTTATCCTTCATTCGTGATTTGAACAGAAATTCGCAGTAATCAAGAAATTTTTTCCAAATTACTAAACATAGTTGAACGAAACTTAGTAATTAAATTCCTAACCTCAGCAACGGTGATGTTTACAAATTTTTCGTTTTGTCTTCGTTTGCGAGTTATACGGTTATATACATACGCGCTCTTGGTTAAACCGGCCAGTAGAAAAGCTGGTCGTTCCTCCTATATCTGTATAACTCGCGAACGAAAGCAAAATAGAAAAAATTGTCACGAGTTAAACATCACCGTTGAGAGGTTAGGTATTTATATACAGAGTTTCGTTGAAATCTGTTCTGTAGTTTAGAATAAATTTCTTGATCGCCGCGAATTTAAGTGACAAATTACCCGGCGAGACGGGCCGAATATAAGGAAGTGTGACATCAAGAATGACGGTGAAATAAAAAAAAAACTCACAAACGAAGGTAAAATCGAAAAAATGTACTAGCTAAAAAATCACCGTTTGGTAGTTGGGAATGTATATTCAAAATTTCTTTAAAATCTGTTCAATAGTTTGGAAGAAATTCTTTGCGATCACAGCGAACTCCGGCCTGTTTCGCAATAGACGCGTAACTCACGAATGAAGGTGACATTTAAAAAAAAATTACGAGCTAAACATCACCGTTATGTTCAGATGAATACGTGTTCCAAGTTTCATAGAGCTGCGTTCATTAGTTTGGGAGATATTACTTGATAATCGAATTAGGAGATTGGTCGTGAGACCGGCCACGAGTCCGGCTACGCCGCGACGTCCTAGGTTTCTAGTGCTGAAACAGTTAAAACAGCTGAAACACATATTGGTTCACTAAATGAGGTTCGAACCTCTTGATATATCTTATCTGCTTGATATTTTTTGCTTCAAATTGAACAGAATATTTAGAAGCACTAACGTTTGATCATCAATCAGTTGGTTTTGCCGTAAACTGCAGAACGAGCAACGTTGAGTAAAAAATATTTCACGTTACTGAGGTAGATGTACTCCCTCTTTAAAGATGTATTTACGTGAAGAAAGTCCACGGCGATTGTCCACTGATAATCGAGGAGGAAGCATCCATGTCCAACTCTACGACGGTCTCAGTTTTTGCGTTTCCCGTGAATTCGTTCCCTCCAAATTTCGTAAACTTTTAGAGGTTGAAATAGACGTCGTCCATGCCCTATGGGCTGCCCGCGTACCACAGAGAAGATACCTGCGATACAATTGTTTAGTAGAAGTGATGTATAATGCTACAAAAGTTTTTTAAAAACTATTTATAACAATAATAAATATTGAAAAGATAGTGTTATCATCATTGCTGTCTAGGCTCAACAGATGCTGAGGTTGATATGTTGTATATGTAGCTAATATAAAAGTTATTTTCAGAAAAATAAGTAATGAGGAAATATTGTGTTATCCTGTCGCTATCTTATGGCTTACAGATGCTAAGGTGGACAAGTTGAATAGCAGCTGATATAAGTGTCAATGTTATGACAATATTAAGTATTGAAGAGATAAAGTATTATTCCCGTTGCCATCCTAGGCTTACAGATGCAGAGGTAGACAAGTTGAAGCAGTTGTTGACACTGTGATAATGGTACGAGGTACCAGCGTAAGAGATTGAAGAGTACAGGATCCAACTGAAGGGAGAATAAAAGAAATGTATGCACGAAATAAATAACTTTCAGAAATTACATCAATTGTTTTCCTATAACATATTTGATACTCTACAACGAAAATACCAGAGACATATTAATTAATTAATTAATCTTATGGAACACTAACCATGGAACACTAATTCTATGGTTTTCAAACCATGGGTTTGGCTTTAGAACCCCGAAAAACCCTTATTCCCCAGAATAAAAAACCCAGAAAAACCCTTAATTAATTAATTAATCTTATGGAACACTAACCATGGAACACTAATTCTATGGTTTTCAAACCATGGGTTTGGCTTTAGAACCCCGAAAAACCCTTATTCCCCAGAATAAAAAACCCAGAAAAACCCTTAATTAATTAATTAATCTTATTAATTGATATAACAAGCATACGTTACAAATAACTTCTACAAATACTCTATTGATAGATCACTGAGAATTTTTATTGTGTTTATTATGTTAAAAAGCGATTAAAAATCGTCTGAATAATCAATAATTAATTAATCTGTTGATTAATAATTTTCCGATCTTCAGAAAAATTAAAGTGACCAATATTCCCCAGCTATCTTAATGGAATTCGGATCAATAAGAATTCGGCCATCCCTGAATTGACATTTCAGATGAGGGAGTAGCTACTAGCATCTTATTTCATTTTAATGTTTTTAGGAATGAATTGTTGTTGTTTAACGGCCGTGTAGCCGTGTAGCCGTGCAGCCGTGTAGCCGTGTTGCCGTGTAGCCGTGTAGCCGTGCAGCCGTGAAGCCGTGTAGCTGTTTAGCCGTGTAGCCGTGCAGCTGTGTAGCCGTGTAGCCGTGCAGCCGTGTAGCCGTGTAGCCGTGTAGCCGTGCAGCCGTGTAGCCGTGTAGCCGTGTGGCCGTGTAGCCGTGTTGCCGTATGGCCGTCTAGCCGTGCAGCCGTGTAGCCGTGCAGCCGTGTAGCCGTGCAGCCGTGTAGCCGTGCAGCCATGTGGCCGTGCAGCCGTGTAGCCGTGCAGCCGTGTAGCCGTGTAGCTGTTAGCCGTGTAGCCGTGTAGCCGTGTAACCGTGTAGCCGTGTAACCGTGTAGCCGTGTATTGTTCAAGTAATAACACAATTCCTCAACCACGACACGAACAGATGAGTGGACGTTGCACTGATAAGCTTGTTTGCCGGCCCAGTCTGGGTCAAGCGGACACATGCAAAGGCGAAAAATTCATCGCTATTTATTCAAAATCCCTCTCATTTATTTGAGTGTATGTTTCTTTGTCTGTGCACCAAATTCTCAGAATTGAGAACTAATATTATATGCAGCAATATAAAGTCATTCGTTTTATTATCCAATATTTGGACTTTTGCTATAAATACCTAAAAAATGATATAATGGAAGCATCAACACGAGTTTTCAGTAAAATTCATAATTTTGTATTTCAATTCCATTCATTCATTCTTTATATAACGTATCATACAGTCTATAAATTTCCCGGAATTCCGAATTTATTTTACACACGTGAGTTGGCGAAAATCTTAGCTCCATCATTTTCGATTCATAGTTAATCTAAATTCCGACTGTAGTTCCCGGTAATATTGTTTCAACGGATCATAAGCTACTAATCACAGTGAAGGCTACTAAATCGCACTGATCAGACTAATGCAACTAAACACTCTAACATAGTATTCTGGACCTAATCTCTATTGAATTACACAGATTTATCGCTGTCTTAATAATATTCTCTATGATCATCCGATCTTTAAGATGATTGAATAGGGCTGACGCTTTCATGTTCAGCACATCAATTAGATAAGTTTGACACTAGTTGCTAAATCAATGAGCTGATCAATGAGCTGACCAGCTAGGCAACGCTTATAAATAGGGAAATGCAAAATGCTTCTCAGTTTCAGTGCTTTCAGGCAAGGACTGTTCTGTTCACTGACGGGCTAAGTTTTCATAGCTTTTGATACTATAGTCACACTAAACACTACACAACTGGAAATAGATTGTTAAAAACATAGGCATGTACTTAAAATATTGGAATAACATGGTTATATTTTAACCGCGGGCAAATCGCTATTTCTAAAATAAGGAAATTTACTCAATTAATGTTTTCAGAAAATCTCCTATTTATTTATTAATTGTGGATATTCATCGAATCGGATCCATGGGCCTACTTCTTCAGTGCCGACACTTCTATTCTATTCTATAAAGTAGCGATCAAAGTTGCGCTAATTATAGGTTCTAATCCCACTTTCCCAATTACAAAGTTATTCATATATTCTACCAATTTGTAAAAAGCAATAAATTTCCGCCAAATGCTGAAATTCACATTTTTTTATATTCTAATCACTATGTAACGTATTTACTATTATAAACACATTTAAAAATATTTATGCTATGTTGCATATGTACTTTAAAAAATAAAAATACAAATAATTTTTATACGTTTTAAAATATGCAAAATATTCCTATCTCAAATATTTTAATATACTTGCCACTAATACCTAAAAATGTTGCTACGAGTCCACGTGATCGC